ATAAATACATACATACATACAAACATACATACATACATACATACATACATGCATACATACATTCACAACAGCGCTCTGCTTTTTGTATATGCACGCACACACACACACTTACGTAGACATACCTGCATACAAACGTACATGCATGGATGCATGCGTGTGCATGCATACATACATACATACATACATACATACATAGGTACATACACACATACGTGCTACATCCATGCATCCATGCATGCATGCATTCATGCATGCATGCATGCATGAATGCATACAATTGAACACGCACAAACATGCAGCACACTTCTAATCTTCATGTATGCGTATCTATATGCACACATATCGATATTTCTTCATATTATATAGATATATATATATATAGCTATCAATACATAAATCAATAAATCAATAAATAAATAATATATCTGTATATGTGTGTGAACACATGTCCACAGCGTGCCTTTCTATATAATATATACATATATATATACACACATACACATACGCGTATACCGATATCGGTGTATCTATATATGTATATATACATACACAGGTGTGTATATACATACGGAAAGAAAGAAAGAACATCAACAAAAGAGGAATAGATAACACAATAAATAGATAAAAAATACATACATCAAGATAGGTAGATAGATAGATAGATAGATAGACAGAAACGCATGCACATGTATGCTACATGCATGTACAAGTGCTGAGCCTCATCTGTTGTGTTGGTCGTGCTGGTTTCCTGATCTGCGTAGGTGTGCCGCTTGAGTATGCATTTATGCCAGAGGGTGTTGTGGCGGAAGCTGCAACGTGAAACGGCAACCACTCCTGAAGTTCGGTCATCCCGCCGCGCGGGGCTTGCATTGCAAACTCAGTCCAACCTCATGCAAGTGCAAGAATTCAATCGGGTGTTCTGCAATTGCCGGGGACGACCAACCTGCTCAGAGTCTGAATGTAACTTTGGATGTCTTGGGGGATGGCCTAACCCGTCTGAGGCTCATTTGTGTCCTCAAGCGTCTGCGCTGGGTAGTGGGATCTAACGACTTAGTGTTCAGTTTAGGTTAGGGGCTTAGGCTGCAGGGTTTGGATTGTACAGCGCTCTCCAAATCAAGCTCCTTGAACTATAAGCCCGAGCTCTAAACCTTAAGCCCTAAACCCCGGACTCTACTACATCGCGAACCCTAGAACCCTAAACACCCCAAACCCTAACACCCTAGACCCCAGAACCCTAAACACCTCAAGCCGACTCCATGGCTTCGTTCTAGAGAGGCCCTAAAGAAAATCGTGGAGGACATCGGAGGGATTCGTGGGAATCTAGGCCCCTGGCTAGATAGCCATGGCAACAGGGGACACTGCCGGAGATGGCACCAGCCCGGAGGAATCCGCCGGGCCACTGCGCCGGCTTTGGTTCGGATGGGCGCTGCCTTTTTTCCGACAGGCAGCTTCAAAAGCCTAAGGACCTAACCCTAAACCCCAAGCGTTTTTGTCCGACAGGCGTCCCGGGACATCTCGCGGCAGGACTTCTCGCTGATGTCGTTGCCGCCATTCCCGCACGCCGAATCTTGGTTTCTTGCGTTTAGGGTTTAGGGGTTTATGGGTCTTGGGTTACTAGAATCACCAGAAATGTCCGGTAAGCTAGATGTATTCATTGTTCTGGTAGGTCCCCTAGCAAGAGCCCAGGAGTCTTCTGAATCGGCTGCTGAGAAGCTTGCTGAGCAGTTGGCACATGAAGCGGCACGACTTGACCGGAAGCCTTCCTTGCAGAGAGCACTCTTCCAGTGCTGGAAGAAGGTATTCCTACTTGAGTTTTTAAGGGCCCTGCTCGCTGCATGTTGCTTCTTGCTTGCGCCCTTCTTGCTGCGCCAGACGGTGAACTCCCTGCGAGAGGGGCTGTGGCTTGAGTCATTTGGGTACCTCTCGGCCATTGCCGCCTCAGGCATGGTCGGTGGGCTGCTTCAGCAACACGGCTTCCATGGCTTCTCTCACTGGGGGAGGCAGATGTGGGCTGCCTTAGTCGGCAATATCTTCACGAAGATGGCGAGCATCGATGCCGGTGCCTTCACATCTCAATTCAGCGAAGGTCAGGTGATATCCATGATTGGACAGGATGCAAGCATTTTCCCGTACATGGGACCCTTTCTTTGCATCTTCTTGGTGATGCCCTGCAACATCTTGATGCCAGCAGCCATTCTTCTCTACTATCTTCGGGAAGCCTTTCTAGTAGGCTTTGCATCCTGTGTGCTTGTATCGGTATCTAGGTTCCTGAGTAGTATCCTTTTGCCCTTTCTCTTTTGGGCTCCCTTATTAACACCAAATAGTAGGAACAAGGGTACCCTTATTATTAAGGCATTAGGGGGGCCAGTGGGAACCCCACACCCCTAAACCCTAAACCCCCAAACCCCCAAACCCCCAAAACCCCCAAACACCCAAAACCCCTAAACCCCAAAACCCCAGGTATTGAGTAGCTGGGCAGCTTCGGCCTACAAGCGGAACGTCAAAGCGAAGCTTGCGGTGGCAGACGCCCGGCTCGTCCTCGTGAACGAGACCCTCCAGGGCGCCTTAGCTTTCCAGCTTTTAAGCCCTTATAGAGAGCCCTTGTACTATTTCTTTTCATGGTAACCCTTATGAACTTCTAGTAACCCTTATGAATTCATTATTATAGTAACCCTTATGAATTTATAGTAACCCTTATGAAGTACCAGCAACCCTTAGGGATTAGGGTATCCCCTATATACTCACAGACTTTTTCACGTTTGTGGGGTTTGTCATCGAGTGAGGCCCTGGCACTCTGCGTCCTGAACCCTTCCATACCAAGCCCTCGACCCCCCAAACCCAAGATTCCCTAGATGGGCTTAGGGTTTAGGGGTTTAGGGGTTTAGGGGTTTCGGGTTTATATAGGGGTTTAGGGCGTTTAGGGCGTTTAGGGTTTAGGGTTTAGGGTTTAGGGTTTAGGGTTTAGGGGCTTGGAGAGGTTTTTTACTTGAAGGTTTGCCGGTGGCCCCCCCAAAGGGCTTCCCTTTCTTACGGAAG